TTTACTTTCGATATTTTATCGCGCGTTTATTTTTTCGCAAAATTCTCGCGTTCATTTTGTATCAAATCATAGATTATTTTCGCGCGATTTTTTTACCACCAGTGCGGATAGTCCTATATAGATCCCATGTATTACAGAATTTTGCGAAATAAAACGCGAGGTAAAATATCGCTTTGCGGACGGGGCCTAAGTATAGGTAGCGCTGAAACAGTGTATAATTAGTTTACAGAGATAATAAATTTAAGGTGTAATAAAATATAAGAAGCACATAAAGAGATATACTACAGTGAGTTGTGGGATAGGTATAATGTAAATGTGCGTATTAAGATAGGGTAGATATTGTTAAAGTGTAAAGGCATGTATGCATACGCAAGCCATAAGGACAATTCTCGAAAAATTTCAAACTCTCAAAAAAATCGTGTCACAATTGTCATAAAATGTATTCTCTTGATAAAGTATTAAACATCATGTGATTTTATCGTATTGTAACACAAAGTTTAATGGTCCGTGTGATGACGGATTACGAATACAGAGTGTCACCACCCATATTCATCCTGTGGGTGTCGTATAAGCCGACCAAGGGAAAAAAACTACGCAGAACAACAGCACTGCAGAGAGAAGGAAAACTTGACACAAACCCTATACCAACCCGTCTGGCCAGCGTGGTATAGTAGGCCAAAACCTCCTTTCTAAGGAGAGGCTTATGTCCAGCAGTGGACTATTAAAGGCTGTTGATGATTTTACTACGAAAATACCTTTTGTGATATTTATTGTGAGATCGTAAGTATCGGAACAAAATTTTGAACGAATTTCTATTACGAGTGATCTATAGAATTGATCTGATCTCCTCGGCACTGCAAGGCCCTAACGATATCGACGGAGCGGGCTAACTCCGCGAGTGGCGTGAGGGCGCCACGATGGCTCGTTGGTCCTCCTGGCTGGAGGCTCCGCGTGCTGGCTTTGCCGCCGCGGAGGCGCTCCAACCGGTCATCGTCAAGTGGGCAGGGTGGCAGCACGGGACTCTTTCCTTAAGACCTTTCTTTTCGACTGCTTCGGGAAGTATATGCACTCGGTCGCTAGGAGGGACTTGAGTCCCGTCTGTCACCACTGCGATTGCAGTGAGGACTCGGCTCAGCACGCGCTGGCAATTTGCCGGGCTTGGGCGCCGCAAACAAACCACGCAGCCCCAAACCCCGGTGGGGTGACGGCCCGAGGGGGTTCCCACACGTAAAAAAAAAGTGGGCTGACACACCGTGTTGTGTCATCTGATAGATATTCCCAACTTTGGACTTTGTGTTGTCACTACATATTTAAATGATTTTACACACTATAACTGTGCAGGAAATATAATATTTTCTGTGATATTAGTAACAAAACGGGTTTGAAACAAAATTTAGTAACATTATATCAATGCTACCAGTCTTAAAAATACTTACACTTTATTAAATCTAATCACTTCCAAAAAAGTAATTAAATCATTACATAACGTTGATTAAGTAAACCAGTATTGGAGCTAATGTTGGAAAAGGATAGCAAGTTTAAGTAGAAAGTGTGTTAGAAGGAGAACAAAGAGGTGCTGATTGACATTTCGTGCATAAAGATATCCACTTAAATGTAATACTTAGGTGCTTATAAACTCATTTGTGTGAAATTTTCGTGTTTTATTCATGACAATAGATCATCTTAAAAAACAGTTCTCAATAGAATAAACTTATTCATAACTAGCTGGTACCGACTTTGAAAAGCGAATTTGAAAAGCGCTCCCTTAGCGATACGCGACTACAGTCCATGAGGCCTCGGGCTCGGCTTTTATAGGGTTTTTCTGAGAGGTAAAGTGACTACCGCCGCCCATGGACATCTGCTACTCAAGAGTCATAAGTGCGATGCCCTTTGTGTTCCCTAATCCTAATCAGGGGGATTTTTGAACCAATTTAGTACAAAATAAAATAAGTTAGCTAAAAGCCTGCATAACTTGCTTCAGGCTTCTTGCCTGAACGCAGGTCGGGCTTTTAGACAAAGTCTTCTGACAAACAACATGAAAATGAAGTGTGATCTAATACCACAATGCAATCGGTTAATATTTAACTTATAAAGTAAAACAAAAGTGAAATGCAGCACCAAAATTTTATAAATAACTTTTTTTTCGTGTTCGTTCGTTTCGTGTTTTTCGAACTGTGAAAAATGTGGTCGGCCTAATGTTCTCATTACGGCGACCACATTTTACCCGTACCGTGTAATCAGTGACCCCACAGGTCATCATCGTCCGTCAATTACAATATAAAGTTCCGTACTATCTGGTTGGTCTTATGATTTTATATTTATTTTAATACTTTATGCACGAGTATGAGTTATACAATAACGGACTTAATGCCTCAGGTATTTTCTCCCGGTCTACCTCAGGGTGGTGCTGAAACGTATGACTAGGCACTAGAGATTGATGTGTAAAGTAAGAGAGAATTATTAAGAATTTAGACAGAAACAATGAGATTAATATAACACACATACGTACCAAATACATACACATACATAATACTTACCTAGTACATACATACATAAACCTACATCTTAATAATATTTAATACGTGAAGGTTGTAATGAATCTGCTAGGGTGTCCAGAATGCGAGCTCGAACTTTCATCTTGAATGAGAGACGGCTGGGTGCTATCCTGATTTCTAGAGGGAGAGCGTTCCAGAGGAGCCTTACTGCTTTATAAATAAAAACTTTTCTAGGGGTAAACTAAACAAGTAGGGATAGAATGGTGGCCTGATTTCATTAAGACGCAATTGAGCGGCCACGTCGCGATTGAGGGGGAAGTGTTTTTCCCCTGGGATAGGGCCTGATTAGGCATGGTGCCAATTCGGGGAGGACCTGAAATAACATGGTCCGGGTCCTCCCAGAGTAGGGCACTTGAGGCTGGCCGTCGTTGTGGTTTGTAGTAGAATCACCACATACTCCTGGCTCCTGAGTCCCCGAAGACGTCCTCAGCTTGGTAGTTATTATCAACCACTTGACCACCAAGTCAATCAATTCAAAATTAATTTTAAAATATTAAAAATATACTCACATTGTTTATTTTAACACAACAATAAACACAAACAAATTTGAAATGGATTTATACAAATAATGAATAAATTTAAAAGTGAAAGTCTAAAGCGAAATGTGTTCATATCCACTGGTTACGTCAGCGCTTACCACAGATGCATAGATACAAGTTTTTAAAACTAAATAATGCTTATTCATATGTCGAGAAAATATTTTTATTATACATCATAATCTTCAAGTCTTCATCAAAAGTTGCCTTCGCCGAATTCTCGGCATATACTGGCCCGAGAACATTTCCAACCAGCAACTGCTGGATCGCTGCCAGGAAACCCCGATCGACCAGCAGATTAAACGCCGAATATGGGCTGAACTGGCCATACTTACCGAAGGGACTTCGATCACATCTTCAAGCACGCTCTAGACAGGATCCCCAGGGAAAGTGCAAGAGTAGTCGTGCACGTCAAACTTGGCGATGAACAGTGGCACATGAGGCGAGGAACATCGGCAAGACGTGGAGCGAAATTAAGCAAGAAACTCGGAACTGATCGAGATGGAAACTTGCTTGGGACGCCCTCTGCCCATTCATCATAAAGATTATTTTCCTGTACTTGTACTGTACTCTTCCTAATATATTGCACCGACTCCAAATTATGTTTTATAAATATATAACCTATAATTATGTTATATGGTAAAGATAAATTAAACCCATATACAGAACAAATGATCGTGCTCATCAGCCACTTATATGTCCTGGGTAGGGATCGAACCTACGACCTCCGACTTAGTATTATGGATCACTAATCTCTACTAGACCAACAGCCCCGTCGCGTCGAACCCAAAGAAAACGAAACAGAACCAAAGCTTTTCTTAAAGATGTATCTGTCTATTATTAATGGAGTCTAGTCTAGTCTAGTCTAGTTTACTGTCAATTCTCTAGCTCTCTCAAGAACGTCCAGAGTCAGACTGTCTCAGTTCTTCCTAAAGTGTGGACCGTGCGAAGCGCTGTGTTGCAATCGTAAAGAGTGAAAGCTCTCAGCATCTGATCGGGGCTCGTTATTACCGACGCGTTAACGGGACAACACACACGGCACCATGGTGAGTAAAATAAACAATATTTTATTTTATTTTAATATATGTATATAGAACAGTGTTCTCTAGTATTAACCGGTACATTCGGATATTTTTTTGTTGTATTTGGATGTATTAGGATGTCAAAATGTTGCTAGTTATAATGTGACTGATGTTTTTTAAAGGTTATGTCATATGTAATTACAAATATTGTGAAATCGAAAGTTTGTGTCAATGGGTGAATGAATGTTTGTTACTGTTTGTTGCGAAAATAATTTTAACGGGATTTTAATTGAACACCGAGTTTAATACAGAACCGACTTATGATCGCGACTTTGTCGTCTCTTCGCACTCTATTTATATATAAACATTGGTTTATATAAATGTATGGATAAAAATCATATTGGCTTATTAGAAATCTCCTTCATTTGTGTCACATTGAAACAACAACATTGAATATCCTCTTTCAATATTTATCATACCTTAATCTTTGACAAAACATAATAAACAGTTTGATTTGACAGAAAGAGACACACATATATATCTCGTCAATTTTCTATTTCCATCTCTATCACCATGTAGTAGCTATGTATTAGTTTAAATCTTTGATGGATTCCGTTGAAAGAATTCTAAAATTCTTCAACAACATAACAAACTGATGTGTGTGTTGTTTGCAGCAATTGCACCGCATTTATATAACTATCGTATTTATCTGCGTAGAGAGAAATCTGTTATGCGTTTAAAATGCAATTGTTTTTAGCATCGACAAAATGATTAAATTTATGCTGCAGATAAACTCTTGAAGATTAATCCTTAATTTGACACTTGGCTCTAATGAAAAGTTGCACTTTAAACTTCAATATTTCGGAAATAGATCCCTAATTTAACCAATGATTTTGAAAGACCTATCCAACGATACCCTACATTATGGAATAGACGTAAGAAATCAACCCAACTTTATGTTTATCGGATTTAACTTAAAAAAAATCTTGGTGAACCCATGTTCTACAACAAATTAGTACTAGCCGCGGACGGCTAACAGACAGACATGTAAATAGCGATAATCAGTCTTGTACTTACCTAAATATTATGTATATATGTAGTAATAGGTACTGAAAACGTTCATATTATTTCATAATCATCAAAACCGCCTTTAATAGGCTGGACATATGTCTCGCCTTAGAAAGGAGGTTTTGGCCTACTAAACCAGACGGGATGGTATAGGGTTTGATTCAAGTTTTCCTTCTCTTTACATTGCTGTTGTCCTGTATAGTTTGGTCCCTTACGACACCCAAGAGATGAATAGGGGTGGTGACACTCCGTATTCGTAAATCATCACCACATGGATACATGTTATATAAATTAAATATGGAAATAATGTTGTATCCTAGCTTTTTCTGGAAATAAACGTAAGTCTAGTTCCAGACTGCAATCAATCTGATTGCCAAATTTTATTCACATCTGTTTAAACGTTTTGGGTAATAAACACCCATCTAAACTTCAGACCCTTGGTAAAAAAACCCGTTAAGCACTTAAATATTTAACCAACTGATAACCAAATTTTATTTAATTGCCTTAAATGCTTATAATTACTGTTTCCAGGGAGCATCACAGAGTGATCAAATCCCAAAGTCCGAGAAGATGGACACGGTGAGCAGGATCAAGGCGCGCCTTGCGTCTGTGGACCCAAACAAAGCCCGAGCACTGGGTGGTGTGTTCCTCTTTAACATTATCAAAGGCACTTCCGTTTATTCTTGGAGTAAGTGGACTTTACATCATACAATACCTACCCATCTATATTACAAGGTAGGAGATATTATTCGGGGCGTTGATCTTGACTAATATAGGTTAAGCTGTATGGACAGGCCGACTCAAAACTACCATAGTTTTGAGTCGGCCTGTCCATACAGCTTACCAGTACCAGTAGCTTAACAGTAATACTAGTGTCCATACACCTTTCTTCAAAATGTTCTAATCAGACCCTACACTGTACTCGCACAGTTGTACTTACTATAGACACCTGATCTGTTTCGGCGTGTGTTCCCAGAGTGTTCCCATCTAGTTTTAAAGTCCGACTTATGAAAATATCTGACAAGATTTACTTACAGAAATAAATGTAATTTATCATTTACCTCTGAGGAGTCTCATTAGTTACTACGACTGTTGCTTCTACATGCGAAAGTTTGACTAGATGTTTATGTCTCAATCACGCCTGAATGACTGAACTGATTATGCTGCAATTTGCAACAGAAACAGACTATATACTAAAATAGCACTTAACCTCCTTTCTAAGGAGAGGCTATGTCCAGCAGTGGACTATTAAAAGGCTGTTGATGAAGCTACTTTGGTTGAAAAATTGGTTGACAATTCGACCACGGCAAAAAACATTGGACCTTGCTGACCCTACTATCTGGTTTAAGAATCTTTATTTCTCAGTAAGTGAATTTACAAAATTCACTTACTGAGAAAACATACATAAAAGTAAACAAAATAAATCCATTGAGCGTTTGAATATAATATAAAATAAAAGTGGGTAGTCAAATATATTTTGCGTAAGATTACAAAACACTGGAACACAGAAAACAATGGGAATCTAAGCAACTGAACCAAAGATGTAACTTGAAATTATTAACTAGTTATAATTAACAAACGAGTGCGTGTAGTTTAATGCGCTGCGCTGATGTATTATACGCGAATACACAGCACTAATTTCATTTCATCACGTGAAGTAATCTTCATGTGAAGAACTGTGATAAAACTTTCTCCCCGCTATAAAGTATACATTTTTGACATAGATACGCACTGTTAAAACTTTATAAACTTATAAAACCTTTGATGAAGATGGTTGTTAAAATAAAGTTGTATCAGTGTTAGATTAATTCATTATACAATACACAATATTTGTTGACATTAAAAAAGGCGTTCTTACAGATATAACACTCATGACCTTCTCTTTCAGTTCGTTCAATTTTTCTAAACATTTTTGCCGCATCTCGAAAAGCATACCAACATAATAAGCATATATAAAATTTCATAAAAATTATTTAAACTGCAAGTTGGAAGTCTTGCAGAAATTTCTAACATAATATTATACACTTGTATGGGATGCGACAGGAATGCAATTAATAATAATAAAAAAAAAACCTTACACATCACACACACGGCTGTCTGATTCCAAACTAGGCAGAGCCTGTGCTATGGTAACCAGACCGCTGATAAACATACTTATAATTTCTAAATACATACATTTCATAGATAAATTACACCGAGACACAGAACAAACGATCGTGCTCATCACACAAATACTTGACCTGGGTGGGAATCGAACCCACGACCTCCGGTTTAGCAGTCAGGGTCACCAACCACTAGACCAACAGGCCCGTCAAATTTGTAATGTATTACACGATTAAACGCATACAATGTGTAACATATTATGCTACATTTCCACGCTTGCCAAAGCTTGGCAAACGTCCAAAAGCTTCAAGCCTTTACAAACGCTTAAATGCCATATACAGGCTTGCGAGTGTGTTAGTATGTTCGCCCAGGTAAACATAGCAGACGTGGACGTTGAAGTTGTGTCATCAAAATATAAACAGCGACACCAAATAACCGCCAACATGTAATTACGTCGCAAGCGCTTGCCGCAAGTTTCTTCTGATCTGTGTTCAAAAACCGACACTAGCCCGGCTCGCAGACAAGCTCACGCAAGCCAAGCTGAACACGCTTCATACGCTTGAGTTTGTGGACACTTGTCAAGACTTGCCAAGCGTGAAAATGAAGCATATGAATTAGCACAGCATGCACTCAAATAACGCGCGTTTTCCCGACTTCCTGTTACGCACTTCCGTCCCTTTGAATAAAATCTCTCTCACAGATTACATGAAAGCAAGAGGAAATATGTTACACATTTAAAAGTAATAATTTATACCTTGATACTATATTCTACCATAATAATAATAAACATACTTATTATACATAGAAAAACCCAGACCAAATCAAACATTAATTGTTCATGTTTGACTTGAGCGGGATCGAACCCGCGACACAAACCACTACGGTATTCGGTCGTCAAATGATGATGTCATTGTGGTATAATTTACTATTAAAAATACTTATTTTTCGACAATTCCATTCCACTCCATTCTGTCATTACGCGTCATATACCTACGTATCATATTATTGTTCTCTCTATTCGAGTCTTATGAACTCATAAACTACTTTGAGATACATAAAGAATTACTAAGTATGATATAGCTGCACATTTGCGGAGACTAAGTTTTACATTATTACATTATCAAATGTCAACCAATTTACAAGGTATTTAACAAATTTACCTTAAGAATGAGGTTAAAAGTAATAATATAATAATATAATATATTCTACCACATACACACAACGCCATCTAGTCCCAAACTAAGCAGAGCTTGTACTATGGGTACTAGACAACTGATATAAATACATATATACTTTTTTTTTTTGTAAATACATACATATTATACATAGAAACACCCAGACCAAATCAAACATCAAATGTTCATGCACACAAATGTTTGACTTGAGCGGGAATCGAACCCGCGACCTTTGGAATAGCAGTCCGTTACACAAACCACTACGCCATCCAGTCGTCAAAAAAAAAAAAAAAAAAAGCAAAAAAAAAAAAAAAGTAAAAAAGCAATAGTAAATTGCCCACGTTCTGCGATTTAATGCAAAGTTATATGGTGCCAAAAATCTGTATGGTTGTTTTTTACGCTTCTATAGATTGAACCTAATTTAAATACATTGCGTTTATTTTGTAAATCAGGCTTGTAATTAAGTTTTTGTTTGTTTGTTTGGCTAATTCTTTTATTATATTACGTACGTAACGTACAATGAATTTCAAAGATTTCCTCCAACATTGTGGTATTTTATACCACGTATTAGTAGATTGTTGTACAGATGGGTCATTTAAACAAGTCATATAAATGATTATCAGCTCTCGTCACAGACAAATAATCATAATAGTAACTACACACATCTCACACACGACCATCCAATTCCAAACTAGGCAGAGCCTGTGCTATGGTAAACAGCCTGCTGATAAACATACTTATATATTGCTAAATACATGCATATTATAGATTAATTACACCCAGACACAGAAAAAAACATCGCGCTTTTCACACAACCCTGTGACGGTGAATAAAAACCAATGACGGGCCTGTTGGTTAGATGGACATCTAAAGAAGCGGCGGTAGCCTAGTGGTTAAGGCGTTGGACTTGTGATCAAGAGGTTGTGGGTTCAAATCCGGTCAGGATTTGAACCCACAACCTCTATAAGTATACTACCGACGTGAACCCACTCCTAACACAGCAATGCAGCTTAGCGGGAGGGGTTAACGGGAATACTAGTAATAACGGTTACTAGTAGAATTAAAAAAAAAAGATCTTAATCGTTTGCAACATACAAAATACATAACATACAAATTAACATATTTCTTCTACTGTTTAATATTAAAGTGAAGTAGGTCGCATTACTGCCTCTTAGTCATAAAAATAATTTATTTGTCTACACGTTTCAGCACTAGATCTCAACAATGTACAAGTCTACGAAGGCGAGCCCGAAGAAGAGCCAGACACCACCTTCACACTGAACGAGCACTACTTCAAACAGCTGGTCCAAGGACGAGAGGACCCCAGAGTCATCATGCAGGCTGGACGATGTTCCGTCACAGGAGACATCATGAGAGCAATGCAACTGGAACCTTATATTAAGTTAGAATAGAATCTGTTATAATATTTTAGTTAAGATTAACTTATAATAAAGAATTTTTTAAAACATTAATCATTACTAAGTATTACTTGAAGAATGTTAAGAAAAACACAGTCAATTTTTTTATCTTTTTTCACTATTTGAACATAATGTGACAATTATTGTCACATTATGTTCAAATTTAAAAACATCGACTCGCGATTCAAAGATTTGAGTGCTGAATATGTTTTGTATGAAATAGAGGAATCGAAGGAGGAAGTTATCAGGGTATTTAAGATGACGTTGCAACTTTTACAAGCGGGGCAGCAACTATACACAGGTTGAACGACAAAGAACTTTTAATATACATGTATAGATATACCAAAATTGTACCTAACACATTTACACATATTTCATAACATTACCAATATTATTATTTTTTGTTATCTATAAGCATTGCCTAATCCATGGGCGTACCCACAGTGGGGCTTGGTGGGGTGCTTGCCCCACCCTCTACCCTACCTTAAACCGTTTTTTTTACGTGATGACAAATTTGAAACACTTCATGTAGGAATAGGTAGGTTCAAAGTAGTAGGCTGCAATGTAACACCGAAATTTAGTTTTGTTATAATATTATTATGAAGACTTCCATACAGAACACTAAAACTATAGTAGTTTTAGTGTTCTGTATGGAAGATGATAGAGCTAAAATTGAGCAAAGGAAATATTTGATGACCCAACTGCCAACCCACCTTTGACTGCACGGGTAGCGTAGTAGTTTAAGCAGTCGTCACGCCGCTACGCCGAGTGTTGTGGGTTCAAACCCCACATGGGACGACACTTTGTGTGATCCACAAATTGTTGTTTTGAGTCTGGGTGATTTTTGTGTCCGTTTCATGTATGTTTGCCTAATCCTATCTCCTATCCTAAATCCTAATGCGGGATTTGTCTTTTAAAAACATAAATAAAAAAAATGAAAAAAACATTGTCCTCCTCTATTCGTTAATTTTTTTACTATATACGCTGTAAGTACTGTAGTAAGTACTGTTAGTGGTCCGCAGGTTTAAATAATGGTTGTTCCCGGATGCCTCCTATGTCAAGCGCAGAATTGCACACTGTTCAAGCAGGCCCGAAGGGGTATTTTTATTGGTTGTGGGATGATGGATGGAGGACAGTCCTTTATGCATCCTATTTAAAATATATTATCTTCGAATGCCATCACATTCGAAGATAATATATTTTAAACAGGTTTTGCCGAAATCCTCGCAGGTAATTATTGAAATAAGGTTAGATAACTTGTCTAGTATTCTTAATTTTACCCCACCCTTAGGTAAATGCTGGGTTAATATATAAAAAATGAAAAAAAATATAAAGAAAGAAGGAGAAACAAGTATAATTTATTTTGGCTGCAACATATAGCTGACATTTCTAAAATCCAATATGGTGGACGTACAAACAACGTCTATTAGAGTTGTAAAATATTTCTGCGACACTTCAATGCATTTGTTGTTTGCTTTAGTTAAATAAATCATCAACAGCCTTTAATAGTCCACTGCTGGACATAGGCCTCTCCTTAGAAAGGAGGTTTTGGCCTACAATACCATGCTGCCAAGACGGGTTTTTATAGGATTTTTTTCAAGTTTTCCTTCTCTTTGCAGTGCTGTACGTTTTCCTGCGTAGTTTGCCTCTTACGACACCCACGGGATGAATAGAGGTAGTGACACTCCGTATTCTTAATCCGTCACCACACGGACAGTTAAATGAATATCCGACTTAAATGAATATCCGACTTAAATGAATATCGACGTCTTTATTGAGCAGTTATTTATTTTCATAGACATTAATATTAGTCACTTAATAAGATGATACATTACTTCTACTCGAGTTATATATTTACTTACAACTACAATTTAATAAAAGAAAAATAATAATTATAAAATCCAACCTCACACTTATCAAACACGGAGGCCTGTGCCTTAGTATAACTTTATTTCACTCACAGTGACCCCGTTTGGCGATGTAATGGGCCCATACTAAATTCTTAACCAGTACCATAGATAATACTGATTTTGTAGTGATGTTAATAACCGTACGCACGAATTTATGGCGTTAGTATTGTCTCTAAAAAGTAATTCAGGTTACAGTGGGCCATAAGCAGGCTGTACCATGTACGGTTCTTGGCACACTATCAAACATCCATAGAACATACCTTGATATGAACTATTGTGTTTAAATCCGGACGACATCATGATGCACTTCTCTGAGTGTGTTCAGGAAGAGAGCCAGGGAATAATATCTGTCCCTACAAGAATCAGACCCTAAGTATGTCATATATATTATGTCTGCAAATATGATAAATGTTGTATGTATTTATATGTGTTATATAAGTTATTGTATACATCAATATCGGTGTTTGTTTAATTTAGATACTTTTCTCTACTGATTCAAAAGTACGCATGACTGTGCCCTTACGTTTCTCTGCTATCCTCTATTCACTTAAGGTTTGGCGGAAGAAAACTCAGTTTTGGGTTAAGCCTTACCTCGACATTACCTTGTGACTTATATAAATATATGTGTCTAGTGCGTTCAATAAAGAATCATCATCATCATCATCAGCCTATCGGAGTCCACTGCTGGACATAGTCCTCTCCCATTGCACGCCACTTAGATCGATTTTGGGCTTCTCGCATCCATCTCCTGCCAGCCATCTTGCGCAAATCGTCACTTCACCTAGCCTGGCCTGTGGGCGTCCTACACTACGTTTGCCGAGACGCGGTCTCCACTCAAGAACTCGTTTTTTTCCAACGGTTGTCGGTTCTGCGGCTAATATGACCAGCCCACTGCCACTTCAGCTTGCTGATCCGGTACGCTATGTCGGTGACCTTGGTTCTCTGCCGGATCGCCTCATTCCTGATGCGATCCCTTAGAGAAACAAAAATAATAAATGACATTAATTGAAATGAAATGATTTCTAATAAACTTTATTCTTCATTCGTTTCTTAACCACCTTAAAGGTTGTATTTTTCTTCAAATTTTAATTACAAATATAAAAAACGAATACAACCGAATTGAAAATCTTCTTTTTTTAAAGTTTGTTTAAAACTCTTTAGTTTTATTATGTGTATTAGTTTGGATAGGTTTGGATGAAGACTTAAGAAACTTGTCGTTGTATAAAAATCAGGTTGCACATTTTCGAGGGGGTAAAAGCGTGTGTATAAAATCAACCTAAAACAGTCGGTAACTACAAATAAGGCGAAGCCGCCCCTAATATGGATTTTATTTGGATTATTTTTTGTATAGAACCGTTAGTAAACGGTAACTAGAGATCATGACGGGCTGATAATGTCGGTTAAAAACCACTTTTACGGTCAGATATCAATCAAAATTTGGCGGTTCTGTACGGTCGGCAACTAACTGTATCTGATTAGTATACGAGTACATACACCGGGATGTTATTGTTTTAGTTTAATACTAAGTACTTTTAATTAATAATATCTAACAGAGAAAAAACTTACGCTCAAAGCAAGAAAGCCTGTCTCACTCAGCAGTTTAGTACAAAACTATACCTACGTATGCTGAATGACCGCTAAATAATACACATATACATATAATATTATACCATCAATCTATACAACTAAATAAAATTGAAGTGTCTATTTGTAATGTCAAAATAATAGGTTATTTTAATGCCCACATTATTTGCACGATACCTCAAAACCAAATTTAATTATTTTTTTGTATGTCTGTTTGTCAGTCTGTCTGTTTGTTCCGAGTAATCTTCAAAATGGCTGTACCAATTTGGATAATATTTTACTACCAGGTAGCTGTCTATATAAGGAATAACTTAAGCTATTAAATGTTGCCCGGTCCGGTAGTCGAACCCACTAAAATAGCGCTTTTCAAATTCCAGGCGAACGAAGTCTGGAATGTGAATGCACGAGAGCAAAAGGCTGACTCCGGCGCATTGTTATGAATTCCACATTGAGACGCACATGCATCGTTAGTTAATTATGACTGTGATTGCGATCTAAGTAAAAGAAACCGGGAAATTACCTTTTGGGAACTTGGAAATTTATTTGAACTGATTTAACTAAATCTAACGCAGTATAATTTTTATTTATTCATAACTTCATGCAATTTTGTAGATAGGCGGACTTAATACCCAAGGTATTCTCTTCCAGTCAACCTTTATGTAGTGTAGAAATCGTGAGTGGTAGGCGCACATAGCTTACAATACTAATCACTAAAATATACACCATACTATACACGTAAATTTGTACACAAATAAATACACACTAAGTGTCTCAAAATTCAACGATAAGCAGACACCGGGAGATGGTGCCTGGTGGACCTGCTTATGTCTACTCGAAGAAAAAAAATCTAATTTTTGTAACTATATTTGTATGTTTGTAGTTGTATGTAACTTTCTGTAACTAAAAATATGTACATTTACATATATACAAACATATACATTGGATGTAGGAAAATTGGTTGCTGCATTATCGTCTGCCGTCTTATTAAGAAGGGGGTTATGTACCTTCTTTTTAAATACGGAACGGTTTGCGGACATCCTGACTTCAACCGAGAGCGCATACCAGATTAGAACTGCTAGAATTGTGGGGGGCATAAGAGAAACAAATTATTTGCAGAGTGAAGATTTCTGTCGTGTTTAGACGACAAGAAACGGAGGTATAAAGCAAGGTGAGGATGGGGAGATGAGAAGTAAAAATAAAGGGTTCAGAGCTCGCTGATTACGACGGAGGCGAATGGGTAACCAGTTCAGCTGGGAACGTAAAGCAGACACGTGGTCATACTTGCCAAGGTTGTAAATATACCGAATGCAGTTATTAAGAAGGCGGTGCAGCTTATTAAGGAGGTCTGCATTAAGGTCGAAATAACATACATCAAAATAGTCGATTAAAGGGATGATTAAGGACTGTATGAGAGTAGTTTTGGTTTTAGGTGGCAGGAAATTCTTGAGGCGATATAGTGTTCGTAAGTTTCCAGTATTTTTTTGACGCACATGAGCTCGC